ATCAGAGTCCTGCCCCGAACCATTCTCTAAAAGATCACCTCCATGTCTATTTCATGTCGTCGTTATCATCATCAGAGGTCCTGGTCCATGCTGCAACTGCTACTACTTCTTGATGCTCCACACGACAGCAGTGGGTCAGCATTCAGGGCTTTTCCTGCACCCCTTCCCATTTCCTCCTCCTCCCCCACCAGCAGCTCTGTCAGCTCTGACATATTGGAGACATGCAGCAGTTCCGGGCTGAAAAGTCTGGAAGAGGACGATGCTGCCCCCTGTTGCTCGTCCAGGTCGGCGAAGCTCAGAGAGTCCAGCTCCAGAGAAGGAGTGACCAGTGAGGGGAAAGAGCAAGGAGAGAGGGAGGAAGACAACTCATAAGGGAAGGAAGGGGAGAGCAGAGAAGAGGAAGAGGAGCAGGGGGAGGGGGAGGTGCAGGAAGAGGAGGAGAGGCCGTGGAGACGTGCTTTGCGCTCCAGCTCCTGAAAAACATAGATCAGACCAGTTTTAAGACCGGGACACAAGGACCAAGGTAAGTAAGAAGTGCCACCTAACTGTCCAACAATCCCATTTGGTAACTTTTACGATCCGTTCACTTTGCTATACAACGAACTGTCTGACCTGTAAGTGCAGTATCAGTGAACGATTGGCATTCTCCAGCCTCCTCTGTCGCTCCTCCAGTTCCCGAACTCGCTGCTGATCCTTCTGCAGTTTTCGGATGTAGTCGACTGATGCTTTCAGGATGGTTCCTTTGTTCCACCGTGTCTCACTGATGGAACAATATTAGAGCACGTTTATCTTGAGTTCATGTTTCAAATTAGTTTCCAAAAAAAAAAAAAAAAAACACCAACTGAAAATGAGATTCTGATAACTGCTTTTAACTGGAATAATAATTGCATAGTAACAAGCAGTAAATAATAGTTGTGTGAGTAGTGATGTGTGTGTGCACTGACAGCTCGGCAGATTTAGGAACCAGTGCTCCGAGCTCTTTGATGCGGTCATTGATGTTGAATCTTCGCCTCCTCTCGACTGAAACAGTTAACAGCAGCAAAATGAGACGTTAGAGCCTTGGAACCAACCCTCCTCCCCCCCAAACATACACACACTTGCACACACACATTGAGTATAGAACTCACTCAGATTGTGATTGTCTTTCTTCTGTCTGTCTTTGATTACAGCATTGGTCCCCACATCTGCAACAGAATAGTCGCATGGGTCAAAGCCCAATCAGATACAGCAGACTTTGTAGTGAATTACGTGTAAGACTTCATCAACGCCAGGTGTCTCCAGAACCTGGATGGAAGGATGGATGGATGGATGGATGGATGGATGGATGGATGGATGGATGGATGGATGGATGGATGGATGGATGGATGGATGGATGGATGGATGGATGGATGGATGGATGGATGGATGGATGGATGGATGGATGGATGGATGGATGGATGGATGGATGGATGGATGGATGGATGGATGGATGGATGGATGGATGGATGGATGGATGGATGGATGGATGGATGGATGGATGGATGGATGGATGGATGGATGGATGGATGGATGGATGGATGGATGGATGGATGGATGGATGGATGGATGGATGGATGGATGGATGGATGGATGGATGGATGGATGGATGGATGGATGGATGGATGGATGGATGGATGGAT